CCTCCGTCCCCCTCCCCCGCCTCGTCCCTCGTCCCTCCTCCCTCATCCCTCCTCCCTCCTCGTCCCCTCTCCCTCCTCCCTCCTCTTTGCCCTCCTCCTCCTCCTCCTCCTCCTCCTCCTCCTCCTCCTCCTCCTCCTCCTCCTCCTCCTCCTCCTCCGCCTCCGCCTCCGCCCCCGCCTCCGCCTCCGCCTCCGCCTCCGCCTCCGCCTCCGCCTCCGCCTCCGCCTCCGCCTCCGCCTCCGCCTTTGCCTCCTCCTCCTCCTCCTCCTCCTCCCTTTTCACTTTAGACTAACGTGAGCCGCCAAGTAGAGGTTGACACTTAACCTTAGTAAGCAATTCCCACCTCCACCCGCGACCATGGTAACTGTAGCCCATCATTAATGCGTACCAATGCTAAAGGTCGCCTCGGGTAGATAACTGCACATCTAAGATGCGCGCAAATCTGGAGCTGCTGCCCGGGTGTTAGCTTGACCCAACACCGTAAGTACGTCCATCCACCCCACGAGCATCCTCAAATACCCCTCGAACCTCCACAAACTCGCCCCCGCCCCCAAACATCAGAGTGAGGCTGGTTGTTCTGCATGCTGTCAAGCAACAAATGTGGGTGGAGGCTGGCCTCACTGCCTGTGGAGGTACAAGCTGGCAACAATGGTGGCAAAGTAGATGTCAGCAGTGGGCTTGGATATGCGTGTGTGTATATATATACACATATAAGCTGGTTATGTGGGCTGGCCTGTCACAGACAGTGCATGCATGCAGCAGTGGAATAAAGCAGAGAGTCAGGGGCAAGGTACGCTGGCTCAGCATGTTGTGAATGACGGGCCTGCAGCAAGAACAAATAGGGGTGCCCGTACGGTGTAGCAGTTCTTGGGTTGCTGCCCTGTTTTTGTGATCCCAAAACCATACAGGCACATCAACTCCCGACCCTCCTCTCCTCCACACTGCCCACCCTTCCCACCCCAAAGATTAGAGTAAGGCTGGCTGTGCTGGGTTTTGTCAGGCAATGCTGTGAGGTAAAGGCTGGCCCTGCAAGGTTGTCTGTCACAACATGTGGTGGTACAGGCTTGCAGCACTGGTGGCATAGTAGTGTCAGCAAGAATCGCTACAGGCTAGCCCTGTGGGCTGGCCTGTCACGGACTGTGTAGATACAGGCTTGCCGCCATGGTGACAATGTTGAAAGTCAGTAGCTAGGTACTGATGGGCCCATTCTGCTGTTGAGGGCCTGAGACCAGACGTACAAGAGGATGTGTTGGCAAGTGAGCATGTAACAAATGAGGTCGCCCCCTGTAAGTCAGAGGATCCCGAAGATAAAAGCCTAGGATGCGAGAAAGCAGAGCGACTGTAAGCTTTGGCAAATCTTGGGCTGCTACCAAAAGGTTTTGTGGGTGTACCGCTAACTACCTGGACCTGGGGCCTCGTGTTTTTTTGCAGTCTTTCTCTGGCTAACCACGAACCCTTAGTGACTTCATGCTGTAGGCTGGCAGAGTGTTGGCTGGCCTGGTCCACAGCAGCGTCGGCCTACTGCAATTCATGTCGTTTTAAGTCTGGCCAGTAGCGATCAATATGGGCTGGCGAGGTATTGCTAAGCGTAGCAGTTCTGGGGATGCTGTCCAGGGTTGTACCCTAAACCAAGGATTAGTGAGGGAGGCAGGAAGTCATAGTAAACGTGGGACGCAAAGGGAGAGAAGGATAAGGAACTGTATGGCTGCAAGTGCGTGCGCAGCAACGGAATCGAAAGGGCCGTCCAATCCTCCTCCTCCTCCTCCTCCTCCTCCTCCTCCTCCTCCTCCTCCTCAACCACCGACCGAGCTGTGGTGGTTCGCTCCCAGGGGCGAGCTCGACCCTGGGCTTATGTCGGGCGTGTCCCCCTACAGGGGGAGCTTCGACGAAAAATTATAAAAACACCCCAAAAAACAAAAAGGTCTGAACATATTCAACAAATAGTCCCCAGATTATGTTTGTTACTACTTTTGACGATTTTGAGGTATCTTTTATATTTCGTCGAAAATCCCCCTGTAGGGGGACAGGCCCGACTTAACCCTGGGCCGCCGCCGCGCCCCTGGAGGCCCTGCCGGACCTCACGGAGCCGCTGGTGCCGGCGGGGGGGCGACGCCGCAAGGATTGCAAGGGCCGAGGGTCGAGGAGCGAAGATCCCAGAACACAAAGCGCCGAGAGGGAGGGGAGGGGGGAAGACGAGGCCGATGGGGAAGCAACGACCACCGAGAGGCGCAGGAACGACAAAAAGCGCGAGGGCGGGAAACGGACTGGCGGCCCGGAAGGATCGCGTCCCCGCCCTCCCTCCAGTCCCTCTGCTCCCCCATCCCACCTCCTCCGCCTCCAGCTCCTCCAGTGGGGTCGGGCGAAAGGGGGGGATAGCAAAGGCGGGGTTTGAGAATCAGCTCACGCAGCTGCTTTTCCCGGCGCCTCCCGGCGCCGGAGGCGGCTGTGCATCGAGGAATGGGCCCCTCGGTGAGGCCGAAATCAGCTGCACGCAGCAAATTTGGTACCCCCCCCTTTCCCAATCCCCCCCTTTCGTCCAGCCCGAGTTTTCGCAATGTTCGGCCTCTAGGGTTAGGTCGGCATGTCCCCCTACAGGCGGATGTTGGACGAAAACAAAGTACCCCCAAAAGACTCCCAAATAGTCCAAACATGCAATACAAAAACGTCCCCCGACTATTTGTTTACTATTTTTGAAAATTCCTCCCGTAGAGGGACACGCCCGACTAAACTTTAGGAACCCTTGACGGGCCTCGGGACGGTCAAAAAAACAACTTAGGACGAAAAACCGGTCCAAGGGAATAGGCCCAGACCCTGGGGGTCGACGCCATGAGGCAGTCATGACGTCAGGGGCCGAGGATCGAGGATCGAGGATCGAGGGTCGAGGGTAGAGGGTCGAGGGTCGAGGGTCGAGGATCTGGGATCGAGGATCGAGGGTCGAGGGTCGAGGGTCGAGGGTCGAGGGTCGAGGATCTGGGATCGAGGGCCGAGGGTCGAGGGTTGAGGATCGAGGCTCGAGTGTCGAGGATCGAGGGTCAAGGGTCGAGGGTCGAGGGTCGAGGATCGAGGGTCGAGGGTCGAGGGAGGATCGAGGGCCGAGGGTCGAGGCTCGAGGCTGCGCCGTCGAGGCTCTCGAGAGCCGGGGTGGCGGCAGGCCCGCGCCGCCATGCGGCGCGCGCTCCGGCCGCGGTGCCCTTCGGAGGGCCCCGGGGGAGGCAACTCCCGGGGGGCGCCTTCGAGGGAGCGATTGGACACCGCTTCCGTGAAGGGGCCCTGGGGCACGCAAGTGAATAGACAAAAATAACAGGAGCCCCCAAGAGGCCCCCGAAAGGCTCCCAAGAGGTCCAAGAGGCCCCCAAGAGGCCCTAAGATGCCCCCACGAGACCCCTCAGGAGGCCCCCAAGAGGCCTACAGGCGGCCCCAGGAGGCCCCCCAAAGTCCCCCCCAAGCACGCAAGCGAGTGCCAGCGATGCTACAATATGGGCCGGCGGAATGAGCGAAGCGATTGAATAACAGGAATCCCCATATCTTTCCATATTTTCTGGGTTTTCGTAATCCCCCCCAAATCCTTGATTTTCCCATATTTTCCTGGGAGTCGACGATTCATTGTGTCTGTGTGGTTTTTTCCCTCGCGATTTCGGGGAGACGTAAGACGGGCGTTGGCAGAACCGGGTTTCGCGGGACCTGGTGTAGGGATGAACTGTCGTCACCCGAAAAGACACGAGCTACGGCAGACCTGGTTTAAAGATTCTGGCCGATTTGGGGGCTCCGAGGCCCTACCACTAACCGGGTTCCCTTACCTGGGGTCCTGGCTATACCTGGATAAGACTCGGGTACGGGGGACTCGGGTTGGCCTGACGGGGCCACCATAAAAATTAGGAGACCCAGTCTGAAATTGGACGCGAGCTCCCGCTGCAGACATCCCACCAAGACTGGACCGTCAAAATCCAGGACGCGCTCGTCAAAACACGTCGGTCAACCTGAATTCTGGCTTACTGGAGTCTTGCGTTTCCCCGACTCTTATCAGCATGGTTTGGTCGGCGGCGCATCGGATCTTAGTTGCGGTTGTAGGGAAACGAGAAAAATGGCATAAACATAAAATCTCGGAGGTCCGCGCGGATTTCTCGGATCCGCGCTGGACCCCCCTGGCAGCGCCTCCGGCGCCGCCCCTGGCGCGCTCGGCACGCTGGGGAGGGGGGTCCAGCGCGGATCCGAGAAATCCGCGCGGACCTCTGAGTTTTATGTTTGTGCCATTTTTCTCGTTCCCCTAGGTAGGAGCTACGACAGAGACGTCCACGATGTTCTTGCCTGTGCTTCTTCACCCTGATCTTCCTTGAGACTCTGATGTCTGGAAGGTGCTATCTCGAATGTCTGGTCTTCTTATGTCTATCCAGGCTCCAACTCCCGTTCGGCTGTTCCTGAAGCACACCAAAAGCCCCGGGGCTGCGACAGGGGCGCCGCGGAGCAAAGAGGGGCACATGGGCGGCAACGAGGGCAGGGAGGGAAGGGGGGCGAGGGCCGCGGACGGGCGGACCGCCCTTGGCCAAAACTCGAAAGCTGGGCGGACGGGCTGCTAAAACCGTGGCTGCTGAAGCGGCCCTCCCGGAGGGAAAAAACAGCTTCCCAGAATGAGGCGCGGCACGCGAAACCTTTTTGATCCGCGGGTCGAGAGCGAGCCTCTCCCGGTCGAAGCTAAGCGGGCCGCGCACAGCCTGAATTAACAAAGAGGGGGGGGGGGCACGGCACGCGAAACAGTCCACGGGCTTCTTCCCGGAAGGACGCAGAGAACTTCCCGGAGGTCGATTTTAGCAGCCACGGCTTTAGCAGCCCTTGCCCGGCTTCCGAAAAACATCCTCCGGTGAAAGCTGACAGGGGCACTCCACGTGCGCACAGCACCGCATTCCGACCAGGACCCCAGTGGGGTAGCGAATCGACTCCCTAAGACAGCCGCGTGCATCTGGCGAAAGACACGTCGACTAGAGAAGTCGGCTGGGGACTGCACCGGGACACTCGAAGACCAATATCAAGAGAATCAGCGCAGATTTCCTCAGTCGCCTTGTTTGGGAAGGCTTTCTCTCAATGCCCGAACTGAGGGCTACTGAACCCGATTAAGGAGCCACTGAGCGGAATGACCGTAAAGTAAGGCCAGGATCAAGCCGAATTAGGCTGGATTTAACCTCCGAGGAGTTGCATTCCAGCCAACCGCCCCCCCCCTGGATCAGCCCATGGTGGTCGCGGTCGGCGCTCACTCATTCGCAGCCTCCTTGTCCCGAGCGGTGTTCGGTCGCACGGACGCCCCACACAGCAAGAAATAGAAACCCCTGCCATCTGGGTGGGGGGGGTAGGTCCCCCACGAGCGGTGGTCTCTCTCATCTGAGACCCCTTGAGAGGCGGCTGGGGGTCTGAACTGGATGGGGGCCCCAGAAAATCATCTGTCCGGGGCCCGGAAACAGCCCTCAGGGCTCGAAAGAGGCAAAAAACCTCCTGCGACGAAGAACCTCGAACCTCGCCACCCTTCTCGCCAGATCTAGGCTGAGTCACTTCAGACCCCCAGCCGGAACTAACCCCTCGATGCCCCGCACCTCCGAGAGAACGTTTGCTTTTCGCGATAGCGGCCGTTACCGGCCCCAGCCGCCTCCTCCCCCCCCCAGGTAACATCACGATCCTTGCTGACCACCGACATGCGTTTCGTTGTTCCTCGACATTCCCAGAAGGCGCCGGCGGGAAACGTGACGTTGCCGGCCCCGCTCCTCCCAGTAACGCCCGTCGTCGCCTGGGAATACAGTAGGGGCAAGCCCCAACCCTGAGACCCCAGGACGTCCACTGGTTTCAGGTGTGGGAACATCACGCTTCCCGTAGCAAAACCATCGAAGCCCGAGAAACTCGGGGCACCCTGTGCTTCTTGGCATGGGTCTCCCATGCAACGCCCGTCATCACCTCTTTTGTATGTATGTATGTATGTATGTATGTATGTATGTATGTATGTATGTATGTATGTATGTGTGTGTGTATGTATGTATGTATGTATGTATGTATGTATGTATGTATGTATGTATGTATGTATGTATGTATGTATGTATGTATGTATGTATGTATGTATGTATGTAGTAGTATGTATGTATGTATGTATGTATGTATGTATGTATGTATGTATGTATGTATGTATGTATGTATGTATGTATGTATGTATGTATGTATGTATGTATGTATGTATGTATGTATAGACATGTGTATATAGATGAAGATAAAAATAATTGATGTGCCACAAATCGTGCGGTCCTCCTCCCCCGCGGGCCGCTTCCCCACCCCCGCCGCGGCCCACGCGGGGCCTTCAGCGCCGGAACGGCGGCCTCGGTCAAGTCATCGCCGTTGGTCATCACCTTCGCCGCCATGGGCCCCAGAGGCCCTTTGCCGCGAGGTCGTCGGGGGTCGCCAAAGGTGCTCCCGGACCAAGGTGCCCCCAGCTTTTCCCTCCATGTATAAGCCCCTGGCCTCGCGAAAGGCTCTCTGGAGGTTGCGGGGGCCTCCTGGGAAGTCCTGGGGGCAACCTGGGCCACGGGCACCTTGAGCAGGGACCGACCGTCCCAGCATTCCTGTAGTCCTACCACCAAATGTTCTCAGAACCCCAAACAAGTTCTAATAACAAAAACAATGTTCTTAGAACAGCAACCCGATACGTTAAACCAAGACAGATTCCGCCAATACATGTTCTAAGAGCATTTCGTGGAAACCACCAAAGGTTCTCAGAACATTGTTTGGTGGGACTACAGGCGAGCCAGGACGCTTCGCCACTGCTTGAGCACCGCGGGGCGCGCGCTGCGGCACGGCCGTCCTGGCGAGCCTCGGCCAAAGCAGCTCGAGAAGGGAGCGAGTGGCCAGGGCAGGCCCGCCCCGTCGGCCGCCGCCTGCGCACTGCGCCCTCGACGCCCCTGCAAGGGCGGGTGGGCGGGCGAGCGACCGACGACAACGGCGCCAAATACCTCCGCGCAGCGCCGAAGGCCTCAGCCCCCCCCCCCCCCCTCTCCCCACACACGGAGGAAAAACTGCGTGAGATAGGGAATGCACACATGGCGTTGGCCCCCGCTCCTGCCGAGACCCTCGGGTCGGCCGCGTCCCCGAGGCCCGGCTGCCGTCGCCGTCCCTGCCCCTCTAGGCACCCTCCGCTCCTCACGGCGTCCTCCGATAAGCCCGTCCCTAGCGGCCGCCAGCTGCCCCTGGCCCGGGTGCTACCATGCGCTCCTGCCAAAGCTTTCTTGGTTCCGCCCTGCCTCGGACCTCTGGGTCACCCAACAGGGCTCGAGCTAAACAGTGCTTGTCGTTTTCGCTTTGTTTCCGTGCTCCTTCTTTCTGCCTTCGCTCTGCCTCTGCTGCGAAACGAGAGCAAAATGAAAACGGCCCACGAGATCGCCAGCACACCGTTGAGCTCGAGCCCTGCCACCAAACCTCGCGCGTCGCGCCCCGAGGTGCGCGACACCCTCGCGCCCTCGCGAGGGGGCCCTCCGAGAGCAGGGCAGCCGCTCTGGCTGCAGGACGGTGGCGCGCAGGGTGCCAGTGCCTCCTTGCGCCCGCGAGGGTGACCCAGCCGACTGCGCGCCGTCGCGTCCCCGCCCGCAGGAGGAGGAGGAGGAGGAGGAGGGCGAGGAGGGGGAGGAGGAGGAGGAGGAGGAGGAGGAGGAGGAAGAGGAGGAGGGAGAAGGGAGGAGGTGGGAACCCATACCTCAGGCGATCGCAAACCTGGATCCAAGGGGTGCAGAGAGCTCCCGCTGTGGCCCCGCCCTGCCTCCCAAAAGTCCCCGCCGACGCTGCGCCACTGCCGTTTGGTCCTGTGCCCTCCCGCTGCTCGGACTCCCCGCGCGGGCCTCGCGGGTGCTCATGGCCCACCCACCTCTCGGTCGGAAGAGGCAGGCAGAAACATGGAGGAGGAAGGCGTTGAAAATAGGCTGGGTTCCATCCGCCCCCCTGAGGGGGACGGAAAAGGTGACGCCACTCGATCGTCGAAGGAGGAAGACGCTTGCAGTGGACTGGGACCTGGGAATCCAAAAGGTACCAGCTTTCAGCGACCGATGGGTACGGAGAATCAACCGATTGCTGCGTACTGCCTGCAAGCCAGGGCCGCGTGCCTCCTGAGCTCCCCGAGCGCGACGCACTGCCCAATGGCCTGGCCAGGCAAGGCCAACAGGATCCGCCGACCCGGTCGGCGTGTGGGCCCCCTGTCGGCACCTGCACAGTCGTCGTCTCCGTCGTCCCCAGCCTGTCCGCGAGAGAAAAAACCTAGCAACGCCGCAACGAACTTCGAAGGGAAGCCCCTTCCCTCTGATCCCTCCTCCGTCGGGGGGGCGGGGGGGCTCCCGGGGGGGTCCTGGTGGGCGTCACGGGGGGGGGGTCGGGAGCGGCCAAGAGGGGGGTGTCTAAGAGGGGGGGTGCAAATCATGACCGGCGGCATATGCGCGGCCCAGCGGGGGGGGCCAGGGACGTAGTGAAATAAGAAGAGGCGCCATAAAATCTGGGGAAATATAATGGCCCCCGCCATGATATCCACCCCCCCTAGTCATCACCCCCCTCTTTTCCGCCCCCGAGGGGGTGTCAGATACGCATCCCCCCCGGGGATCCTGGGGCTGGAAAAAACTACCCAAACAGGCCAAGAGTGCCTCAAGAGGCCCCCGAGACGGTCCAGGAGGGCCCCTGATCGCCAAACGATCGGTCCAAAACGCCTTCACGCCCTCCAGACTGCCAGGGAGACCTCCAAGGCGCCCCAGGAGGCATCCAAAGGCACTCCGGAGAGGGCCCCAGGAGGCAAAATTCACGGATTTCCTCGGATTGTTACAAGATTTGAGCGTTCTCACCTTTTCCGATTCCCGCCGCTCGAAGACGGCCGAAGTGGCCCTCAAGATCACCCCAAGACGGCCCAAAAGGCTTCCAAGAGCGCCCCAAAAGATCCCAAAAGAACCCCAAGACGGCCCAAAAATGCCACCCGGAGGTAGTTTCTCCTCCCGGATCCATTTTTAGTGGCCTCGGAAACGGACGGAGCCTGGAAGCCGAAATCGAAGCAAATCCTCTTGATTGGAAAAAGACAGCGTTTTTTTTTCACTGAGTCAGTGCAAGTTAACTTGCATGTGATTTTGTCCATCCCCCCCCGCCCGCACCCTCCGCCGCCGTCCGAAACAGTGTTGGGCCGACACGGCGTGCAGGTGAGCTTCGACCCGCACGAAGTCCAGAGCGACCCCAGCTGGCAGCTGGAGGCACTCCTGGCGACGGCGCCCCTGCGAGCAACAGCCAGGGGGCCACATGCGAACCCTGCCCCTACCCCCCACGATTTCTGAGGGGGAGGGTGGGGTTCACTTCGTTCGGGAGCTCCCGAACGAAGGGAACCCCACCCTCCCCCTCAGAAATCGCGGGGGTACTCCAGATTTCGTAATAAAGGGAGGGGGGTCTCATTTCGGGGGGGGGCTCTTCCAGGCTATCTTGGAGGGCCTGGGGGGGTCTGGGGACGATGTTTTGGAGGGTTCTCCCACGGGGGGGGGTCTGAAATGGCTTGTCTTGGAGGGTCCAGACCCCCTCCCTTTTCTTACGAAATATCTGGAGTACAGGAGGATGCCATGGTGGCCATCTCTGGCACACCCTGGCTTGTGAGCGGGGCACAGAAGCCCAGAATGGCCTGGAACGGGCAGCGGGCCGGGCTAAGCGGGCTCCGCCGACTTGGCGGGGTCATCCTACCCCCTACGCCACTGATAAGCGAAGCTGGCCCAGGCATCCCCCGTTGACACGCCTACACACATAGCAAGCGCCGCCGAAACAAAGACAACCTCCGTATAGAATTGGTCTTCTGACGACGCGCAGAGGGATGTATGGGGGAAGGGGGACGGTTTCCTAGAAGGAAGCTGCTTCTTAGAGGGCGTAGGCCCCACATGCGCTCGCGATTCGGATGCAGTGGGCCGCCCCTCCGCCCCCTGTGGGCGCGCGGCGGCCCAGGGTGTCCCGCCGTGGTGTCCTGTGGTGTCCCGTTGGTGTCCCGTCGGTGTTCCGTTGGCGGTGGGCGGGCGGTGGCCAGGGGTGTCCCCCCTTGGTATCGATAGTGAAGTCGATAGTGAAATCGATGATGAAATTTCTAAGATTTTTCCCAACCATCCTGTGGTGTTGGGTCCTCGTTTTGAAGAGACGTCGCCCCAGGTTCCTTCCTCCTCCTCCTTCCTCCTCCTCCCCTTCCTCCCCCCTCCTCCCCCTCCCACACCCATTCTGGCACACCCCTCACACGTTTCGTGGCCCCATAGGGAGCTCCACCGAAGGCCCCAGTGGCTGCGCCCGCATGCGGTTCCACCCCCCATTCTGGCACACCCCTCACACGTTTCGTGGCCCCATAGGGAGCTCCACCGAAGGCCCCAGTGGCTGCGCCCGCATGCGGTTCCACCCCCCATTCTGGCACACCCCTCACACGTTTCGTGGCCCCATAGGGAGCTCCACCGAAGGCCCCAGTGGCTGCGCCCGCATGCGGTTCCACCCCCCATTCTGGCACACCCCTCACACGTTTCGTGGCCCCATAGGGAGCTCCACCGAAGGCCCCAGTGGCTGCGCCCGCATGCGGTTCCACCCCCCAGTGGGGTTTCGTGGCCCCATAGGGAGCTCCACCGAAGGCCCCATGCGGTTCCACCCCCCATTCTGGCACACCCCTCACACGTTTCGTGGCCCCATAGGGAGCTCCACCGAAGGCCCCAGTGGCTGCGCCCGCATGCGGTTCCACCCCCCATTCTGGCACACCCCTCACACGTTTCGTGGCCCCATAGGGAGCTCCACCGAAGGCCCCAGTGGCTGCGCCCGCATGCGGTTCCACCCCCCATTCTGGCACACCCCTCACACGTTTCGTGGCCCCATAGGGAGCTCCACCGAAGGCCCCAGTGGCTGCGCCCGCATGCGGTTCCACCCCCCATTCTGGCACACCCCTCACACGTTTCGTGGCCCCATAGGGAGCTCCACCGAAGGCCCCAGTGGCTGCGCCCGCATGCGGTTCCACCCCCCATTCTGGCACACCCCTCACACGTTTCGTGGCCCCATAGGGAGCTCCACCGAAGGCCCCAGTGGCTGCGCCCGCATGCGGTTCCACCCCCCATTCTGGCACACCCCTCACACGTTTCGTGGCCCCATAGGGAGCTCCACCGAAGGCCCCAGTGGCTGCGCCCGCATGCGGTTCCACCCCCCATTCTGGCACACCCCTCACACGTTTCGTGGCCCCATAGGGAGCTCCACCGAAGGCCCCAGTGGCTGCGCCCGCATGCGGTTCCACCCCCCATTCTGGCACACCCCTCACACGTTTCGTGGCCCCATAGGGAGCCCCACCGAACGCTCCGGTGGCTGCGCTCGCATGCGGTTCCACCCCCCATTTCGGCACACCCCTCACACG